GTGGAAAAAATAGCAAGGGCGTTTAACTCACATCTTCTGTTTTCAAAAAGAAATATCTGTTTTCTGAATTATGAGAAGAGAGCTTTTGAAAAATTCCCCCATTTAAATAAAGCAAATAAAATCATTCTAATCACAGACTGAAATTATGAATGGAGAGTTACTCTAAATCATCCTTTACCTGTCTATCATAACTATTTATTTATAAGATTTATTTTGTGGAAGCAGTATACTATGGTACATTCACACTGCAACAATCCCCAACAATTCTGGAGGCTTTCAAGAACAGACTGGACAGCCATTTGTTGGAAATGATATAAGGTCTCCTGCTTGAGCAAGGGGTTTGACTAGATGACCTTCAAGGTCCCTTCCAACTCTGTTATTCTATGGCTTCTAATTCCAAAATGACATGCCACCATCACATACCGATGTTGCAATACCAGATGAAAGTACATAAATTGCAGCTTTTATATCATGACATTGCGGATATTTTATTATTTCTTCCCTGGTAGATAACCACATTTTCACTTACACTCAATAAGCATGACCACAGGAGATACAATCATCATCTTCTTTTAAAGACCGCATCATTCCTTGCGGGATGGAGTCTGGGCAACTGAATGGAACTAGCAGAGTCTTTAATGGCCGGATGCCCTTCCTGTCGCCAATGCAGAGTTTTGTTCAGTAGATATATTCTCATCGTGCCCCTACCAAGGATCGAACTCACAGCCACCTGCTTGTGAGGTGACAGCTCCACCTCTAGGCACCACTCCACCACAGGAGATATAATAGGCCAGGAAAAATGCAAATGGCAAGGAGTACTAAAGTTAGGCATCCCTCTATCGTGTTTCCTGAAGCTCTAGTATTTACATACGTGACTAGACTTTGGGCATTTTGGATTATTGGGAAAAATACTTGAAGATCAATTTTCGTCCTTAGGAATTTTTAGAAGAATATTTGCAAGGAGAAATAATGACTTTTAATTCCTATTTATATTGCTTGTTTTCCATACTAGAGACTTTAGCTCCACTGAAAATGAACAATATTTGGGGGAGGGGTGTTTATCTGGGGGATTATCTGACAGACAATATTGGATCTCTTTTTGCTTCCCCTGATTTTACTACCTGGGGGAAGTGCTAAGAAAAGATCCCTTTGCTTGCACCTTAAAACCTTTGTATGAGAGGGGAGCATTCTAGCAGTGATGGATAGATAATTGCTGTGGTTGTTGTTCTGACTTGCTTTTCCTTTTCTCTCTCTTTCCTTTAAAGCATAGCAATTAAAGTACTGAAGCGGGCAAAGATAATTTCCTTTTTTTTTGCTGTTGTTCTGATTTGTTTTTCCTTTTCTCCCTTTATCTTTTCTTAGGTTGGTGACATGATTAGAAATTAGACAGAATAGAAAGAAAAAGGCTTTTAATAAAGAGTGTCAGGACTAAAGCTAGAATAAGTGATAGAAATAAGGTAAGGGGGAATATTAGTGTCTACATTGTTATATAATAAAATAAAAATAATAACAAGAGAAAACATGGAATAATTGAATAACGATAGATTACAACGTAATATAAATGTGAATTATTATTAGAAAAACATAAGCTGATTGAATGTAATAATTATGATTAACTTATCAGTTTTACTTGTATTAGAATGTATGGCACTCAGGTACCACACTGTTCATGCATTGATTCGATATATCTGTAGAAAATAACAAACTTGGGGGAAAAAGAGCATTACAGCAGTGCATTTCCCACCCCCCACCCCCAATTATTTCTCATCTATTTTGCTGAAATAGAATTTGCTTTTAAGAAGGAAAATCACATTGCTCCTTCAGTTTACTTGCAGAACAGCAAACATATGTATACCAACCATCTATCTCTGCGATCATTTTTCTAGCAGCTTGCAGCTTTCCTGGTTCTCGTGTTTTGGTTAAATTTCAAGGAGAAACCTTATATGGAGCACCTCCTATTAAGTGTTAGATGAGATGGGCAGGAGAGAAAAGAGAGGGAGGAAGACTTTTCTCAGATTGGGAAGCGTGTTTTGAGTTATGGAAAGCTAAACAATATAAAATCACAATACTACCAATAGCTGTCTCTTATCATTGCCACCAATTAATGAAGCTCAAAAATTCCACTAGGAGACATTTGAAAGAAATTTTCAAGTATCTGAAAGGAATGGAGAAAAAGAAATGGATCTTTTGTAAGAGAAATAAGCTTGGGAAAAATTACCAGGCAGATTTGACCATGACATTACCGGAAACATCTTAGTCATTGAGCTGCTCTAAGACAACTCAGTCTAGGCCAGTGATGGCTAAACTTTTCTGGACCAAATGCCCAAAGTACATGCATGCGCACAAACCCCCAAAATGCAATGTGTGTGTGGCCCCCATGCTTGTGCCCTGCCTTGTGCATGCATGTGCGCCCCCCGGACACCCACCCTCCATGCATGCACACATGTCCCCCCTGCATATTCTGCCCACACATGCACATGTCCCCCGCACGCCCTCCCACATGCACGGCAGAGACTTAAAGACCACTGGCTGGCTGGAGGTGCATGCACAACAGAGCTGAACTGGGGTGATGGCTTGCATGCCATCTCTGGCACGTATGCCATAGGTTCGCCATGATAAGCCTAGGCTAACTATCTGTCACATGTATCATCCAAAGAAGAAGCAACACTTCCTCGTTGTATATCCCAATGACTCTTATACACAGGAATGTTGGAATAGAAGTGTATGGATATTTGTTTTACTTTTTAATGAAATTTATGTGAAGTTTCTGTGAAATTTCCATGAGATAAATTTCTATCACAAGAAGTATTTTTAATTGATAATGAATGAGTCCAACAAAATGAAGATTCCTGCAGTCTGTAATGCAACATAGTGAATTGGGAAAATATTTTGGAGCAAAATATAATAGCAGAACATTGTCAAGTGAATTTCATAGATCTAGGTAATCATTGTTGTAAGTAGCTGAGGTCAGAAATGAAATACAGACCTATTAGTATAAACAAAAGCCTCTCCTTGATACCACATTCCAAAATCAGGAAAACACACTCACAGATTGCTGCGCATTTGCACCGGTAGTCTTATATTGAATCATGTCATAAATTCTTCTGCTTTCACCTTTCCAAATATGCAGTCCATATGCTTAATAAATACACCCAATTTTGAAGTAGAGGCACTCTGGAGACCTCTTAAATCGTGGCATTTTCACAAGGCCGCTGCCAGTTTACTGTTCCTTATTTTCTCAGATACCCAATGTACTCGTAGTGCCAATGACAAGTTTGAACTGCACAAGTTTATCAATCCTTTAAAACTAAGTGGAAACAGATATTTTAAACACATTCCTTAATCTGACATACCAGGCAAGTTTCCTAATGGTGCAGTAGGTAATCAATATTGTTGCCAGTTGATTTATATTGCCTGTCAAGGAGAAGTAATCTTATGCTTTCAGGTGAAACCTGTTTGCAGATACTCTTGACTAACCGCATGCCTCCAATCCACACAGCAGCTCTTGTGCACGCCTTTGTGGTTATGGAGTCAGTTTCTTTCATACATGCTCATTTCCAAGGCCCATGGGGCATATTAATTTATATGCAGTGCTGCAGTCCAAAATTCAACAGCACATTATTCTTACCAGCTGCAAATCCCTTCATTTTCTACCAAGGGTTTAGAATGGTATGCAGCTGGTCCTATAAAATATTACAGTATTCAAGGTGATGCACCTTTTATACAGCATGGATCAAGCTGTACAAAGCTGCATTTGATCTGACTGTGACATGTGAACCAGTTTATGCAGGTTGAGCTGACGCTTGGGTTATATATCATGAGATACTTTAGAACATATACAATGTTCTATCAGAAAGCAACTTGTTAATTTTGAAATGCTGGTTTTCAGAGGTTTAGCAGGACACGAGTTAGAATTAAATGAAGGAATATTCAGACCAGACCATAAAAAATCTTTCTTGACCAAAGTCTTTAGAACTATGCTACTGTATTGTTATGCTTGATACCTGAAAGACTTCCATCATGTAGAATTTTGTGATCAGTAACCACTTCTGTGTGTATTATATTGCAAAAGTGTAATTACACAAGGCGGGCACTTTTTTATTTGTATACAGATAGACATTAATTCATTGTAATATTTTCAGTATCTAAGAATAGATTTATGATGGTAATAAGGTCAATCCAAAAGTGTAAGAGAGGGCAGTTTAGCCAAATGCAGCCTAGAGACTTTCATTAAAGTTGAGCAGAATATTCAGTGATCACATCTAAAGCAAGTTTCTATATGTTCTCCCCTTATTAATTAATTATTATGATTTGTAATCAATACTAATTTTTATCTCTCCTAAAGATTAATGATATCTGTATAAAACTGTCTTCAAAAAAGGACAAAAGCCAAAGGATTTTGAATATCACAAAACTGATGTAAGATGTCAGAAAAGACATGATTTCAGCCTGTTCCATTTAACTGAAAGTAAGTAAGTAAGTAAGATCTTTATTACGGTCAAAGACCAGCAATATACATTTGTCTTTATACTAGTATTAAAAATACTAACATTAAAATATAATTAAAAGTATTTACATTAAAAGTGGATAATAACATTATGGTCCAAAGATTGTTAAAGGTATGTCCAGATAATTGGTACAAGATGGTGCTATACTGTAGCCAATTTTTTTCTTATGGACATTGCATTGCATCTTATGTTCCATTTAACTAGTTTATCCTAGTGTGTCAGCAGCAATGCACTTTCAATATTAATTACATGACCTTCAGAAAGCAACACAGTTTGTTCTTGCTTTGTCTAATCAAAACATTAGTTTCACGTTAAAAACAATAGCCTAAAGATATTTTGCACAAGTTGTTGCATATGCAAGGATAAAAATCAAGCTTGTTCCATAGACCTACCTGAGAAATTCTATACAACCTTGTTTTATAATCACAATTTATCTTCTTCTAGCCTGCACTCTAATCAGGGGTTAATGGTGTTCAGAATTCTGTGACTTACTGTGAGATGTGAGTTATTGGAGTCAGCAAAGTCTCCCCTTCCAGGTCAAGTTCATCAGCAAAGCTGTTTGTTCTAATGAATGGTCCTGTATGTGGCTCTAAAAATGGAGAGTTCCTTTTAACTGTGGAAGAAAAACAGGCAAGCAATGGTCATCTATATCTAAGGGCTACAAAACATTTTCAAAGTTGTAAAATATTGAGGAATATAGAGAAAATAATTAAAAGGCAGAATCAAATGTAAGTTTATAATTTTAAAAAAATGGTATTCCTACCTAAGTCTATTCAAAGAAAAGGAGAAGATGAGGGGTTTTTTTAATGGTTGTTTTTGCTCGGGGATTATGGTATAAATGTCTGTCCTTGTAAACTATTTTTTCCCTTTTGGTAATATAGAAAGCAGTGCTTTTAGATATAAGAACTCTATGTATTTAACAAAAGCAAAGAAATATAATGAACCTTAAAAGATATACAGTACTTTGCAGCAATTGTGGATATTAGCAAGCTTAACATGTGGAATTTTATGAGAAAAATAAAAGCATAACACTTATTAAGTATAAATATTATACTTAAACTGGGTGTTGTCTAATAGATTATATTATTGGATATGTCCAATAACTTGTAATACTTTAGAAACAGAACAAGACATGTATTTTTAAAATGTTCGTAACAATAGCACTTCCTCTCAAAAATCTTATAAAATTGAGGCATATCCATCTAATAGACACCGTGTCTAGGGCTTACAAACTCCTAATCCACTGCCTTAACCACTTGCTTTAATACTTACTGAGATCAAGTCCCAATAAACTGATGATGAACATAGGTCCTGGCAATACTGTTATAACCCTCACCCTCTAGGTTATTATCTTAACATGATAATACTTAGAGCCTGTAAGGGTTTTAATGTGGTCCTGAGCAGAGGTAAGCAATCTTTTTTTTCTATCACGAGATGTACTTTCTCAGAGGTAATCTGACAGAATCACCCAAGTGGAAATATGCAGAGCATAGAGTAATTTTGACTGTGCAAGATGATTTCCATGCCAGGGGATCTGTACTAAATATGCCAACCTCAGGCAGGTTAAGAGTATGAAAGTAAAGAATAGCTGAGTTTACCTGGAGAACTGGGAGATGGTTGCTCTGAAGTAAAGGATGTCCAGGAATGCTGTCGGTCTGAATAAACAGATGAAATGGACAAGAGGGAGTGGACAGAACAGGGAAACAGAGAAGAAGAAAGTGATCTAGGGCCTCTGTTTCAGCATCAAAGTCAAAATTAAGAAAACAAGAAAGAAGGTTTTAAAATTATCATTTCAATTAAAACAATGCTGGTAAGACACATGCATCAACTGTGTCATTTGTGTATTATACAAGTGCCAAATGAAAATACACAATCTTGCCCAGCATATTCTAATAAACAGTGCTACAACAATTGTTAACATATATCAGGAACTGCCTTGATCAAGGTAACCCTATGCCTCTGTGCAGACATCAGGAGCAATATACGGATTGCAGGCCTTGCAATAGCTTTCATGTCTGACCCACACTTGCATTGCATAAGGCCTTGACAACTGTTCTGTTCAAGCAGACCTTTGGCCTTGGATGACTGAGAGGTGATTGTTTTTTTAATGTTTGCAGCATGCTGATATGTTTAGTTGCTTTGTTGTACACCATTCAGAAAGGAGTGATTGGGATGGCCTACAAATGTTAACATTCTAACATAAAAAAAATTAAGGGGAAAAAAGGCAGTGATAGCATTCAGTGCTCTTCTTATCCTGAAATTTATTTCATTGATGGAATCTGTAGGAGTTAATTCCTCCTCTGCAGACCCTCATGTTTCCTTGGTGAGTTTTGCAACATATTAAGGAGCTGGAAAGGGGAAATGTGACTTTTGCTTCCTTAGATGATGTTTCTGGACTGATCTACCTGCTTCTTACAATTATAGGAATATGAAAGGTACTTATCATGTCATCTTAAAAATAAGCTGTTTTCTTCCTTTAATAGGTGAATAATAGGAAGTGTTGCCAATTTGCTTCCTGCACTTCATGCTAAGTTAATAAGTAGCGAGAGTGTATGGAAATCATGGCAAGCAATGTTAAAATTCATAATCCAGCATGCTATAGGTAAAGATAGCTTCCTTAACTTACCAAGAAATTTTAACATGCCTGTTTTTCCTGTATACTTGTAAGAGTTTTAAGAGAACAGAAAACAGGGAGAAGGGGGAGAAACAAAAAACAGATGTCAGAAGGAAAGGAGATTTTTGTTCCAAAACTAGAGTCAGCATCTTGTCTTTTAAACGTTAGAAATCCCAATTAAAGGTTAGTATCAGTTGTGCCCAGAAAGCAACGAAAGAGATGCTTTGACATGTTTTGACTTGCATAATCTATTCAGCAATCCAGAACTAGATGTGAACGTATAACCTGACACACATTTAAATGTGCCATTTTTCACAGATAGTTGTTTTCTACTCCATATTTTTAAAAATTGCAATATATCTGTACAAACTTGTCAAATATGTTTTAAATAAAAGGGATACAAAATGTCCAGATATTCAAATCTAAAGCAGATGTGTATACATATGTATACATACACATACACATATAGCCCACCAGCACTTTAAAATTGTGATTTTAAAAGTGTTTTCTAAGGTTTTTGTTCTAAAATACGTAGTTCTAAAACTGAATAAAAAGAATTGAACTATTATTGTATAAATGTATTTTCAGCGTGGGATGGATTGCAGAGGTATATTGTAATTTGTTGAATCTAAATCAATGCAAATATCCGAGCGATGAGACCAGATACTATTTTAATGATATTGAAGCAGAACATTTTAAATCAATTCTCACAAGCAAAAACTTTTTTTTTAAAGGGACCCTTGTCCAAAACAACCTCCTAGATAGAAATTATATGTTCTATTGCATTCTGGGGTTATTAAAATCACATATCCATAAAAACTTTCCATCTGATATCCTTAGACACAATGATATCTTTATATCATCAGACAGACAGAAAATTGTAATCATTGGCATTGGAATGGAAACAATGAAAAATATATTTGTATGGGTAGTGGCAACCAATTACAAAAATGCTGAAAATAATACATGACATAATAATATTGAATTAATACATTACTTAAGACCAGTATTTCTCAATCTTAGCAACTTTAAGATGTGTGGCGTTGAAGTCATTATTACAACTAAAATATAGAGTTTAAGACTCAGATGCCAGTAACATAGTTTGGTCTCATTTAAATTGTAGCTCCTTATTTTAATGCATGCAAGTTATATTTTAGTCTTTCCAATTTGATGGCCATTTTACTTCTAGTAAATAAAATAACTGAAAGTCTTACCAGAATTTTCATAGGTATCCATTTGAAAAACAGCTTTCCTATCCTCCAACACATGGTCAAATGTGATTTGTGGAACAGGTAAAATTTTATCAGGAGAAAGTGATCCATTATCCTTTTCTGTTTTGGTTTTCTTCTTTTTTACCTAACAAAAACAACTATTTAAATATTTTTTTAAAAAAACAAACCCCAATCCTTTAATTCATCTCCATAGGATAATTTAAAATTAGGAAAAAAAAACTAGAGAAATTACAATGTATGTGAATATTATACAATTTAACCTCCATTTATTCCAATCATAAAAGAGTAAATAAAGCGTAAAATGTTCTAACCATTATAATTCAAAAGGCACATGTTTCTGCTTTACAACTGTATTATCATGGATCTTCCTTTGCAATTATTTAGAAAAATGTAATCTTTTTACATTAAATGATCATAGTCATTAATAAAGTCTAAATGAGGTGATGACTTGACTCACTATTCATTCTATCCATCCATCCATCCATCCATCCATCCATCCATCCATCCATCCATCCATCCATCCATCACTATAACAAAATTAAATTGCTTCAGATGTCCTTAATGAGGAATTAACTTGTTTACCGGGCTCAATATTATTTCTTGAGAATGGCATTGAACTCCTGGATATCTGATCGGGGTTTCAGGAGTTATTCTGTGAAATCATTAATAATTACCCATTGAGGCACATAAAGGGCAGTGTGCAGGAGGCTGACAAACCCTTAGGTCCCTTCCAGCTATGATTCTATGATTCTCTGTAGGTAACATACAGAGTTTTAGAAATGTTACCAAAGACCCATAACGTTTTACAGTTTGGTTCTTTGGTACCTAGTAGCTATTTTCTTTTATTTTGAAGTGTTGTCTTTAATCCATCTCAGAGTATTGACATACCCAATGCCTCTATCCTCTTTTCATTCTGGAAACTTTTTTTTTTTTTAAAAAGATGAATATAACAAATTTATCTACATCTTTTCCACCTAATGGGAAATATCGATATTAAATTAGTGTTAAAATCACACATATAAATAAACAAAACAGAATTGCCTTGTTTGAACAGGGTTTTTTTGGAGGGTGGGGACCACCCTGTACACAATTCTTCTCTACCTACTTAATTAGAATTCTTTGCCAGCACAGGAAGCATTATCCTTGTCCAAAGGGTGGGGTAGAAGAGATTTCATAAATCATGTAAAAGGTCTCCTAAATCTGTTGGGACTATGTCACTGTCATTGTAACTGTTAACTATGCATATACCATGTTTCCCTGAAAATAAGATCTCCCTGAAAATATTGCAACACAGCAGCAGCCATGAGGTGACCATGCTTGCCGCCTCCTGCACCTCAAAAATAATAAGACCTCCCTGAAAATATGGCCAAGCACTTATTTCAGGGGTCAAAAGAAAATAAGACACTGTCTTATTTTCGGGGAAACACAGTAGTTAAAAAGTTACCAGATCCATTGCTATGCATCGCCAGAAATATTCTACTGAAAATATAAGATAGCTTCTAGGAAGAGCCCAAATGAAGCAAAATATCCCCATAGGTCTCTGTATTCCTGTGATATATATTCTACTGAATATACTTCGAGATGCTGGTTTAATTACAAATGTATTTAGATGGTATAATTTCAGATGTAGATTATACTGGACTCAGGGCATTATCATGAAGGAATAAACAGCAAAATATTTCAGGAGGAATACTGTATTCCCTGGAGCTATATTCCAAAACATTGTAAAATAACAGTTTGCCATTTGTTACCCTTTTTAAAATTCCTCACAGTTTCTCTAACTGCATATTCTCCTGAAGAAAATATTTTGAAGGATAAACTCCCCCCCATTATGCTTGTTACTGAAACAAGAGAAGTTTTTATGCATTTGAAGCACTGAACAACGAAGGAGTAACACAACACTCCACAATTTTATAAAAGTGTCATGTCAGGTAGGCAGCCTCTCATATTCCACTCTGTAACATTACATGAAAAATAACATCTTCTGCATGGATGCTTTATTTTGGAGAGGTCAAAATATTGAACAAGGCTATGTACCAATACGCCTACTTGATGGGAAAAACTTCATTTCCCTCCAGCTTTAAATGTTAAGTTATAAAAAACATCAAATAAAAAAAATGGTATTCATTACCGACACCATTGCTATTTTCTTTGGCTTGGGACTAGGAGACAACAGGTGATAACTTCTGGAAGGCTTTTTAATATATATTTTCCATGTGGAAGAATCTGGGTTTTCTGATGCGTAGCACCTCCAGGCTGTCTAAAATATTTGTTAGAAACACACACAAAATAAAGTTAGCAAGAAAACAGTTGTGCATCTTTCAGATATTAGTCGAGGTTACACTTTTATATCTCTAAAGAATACCCTAAGCCAGGAATTGTAGAAATTTCAAAACAGAGGGAGAAAAGTGGAGGAATAAAAGAAAAGAAAAAAAAATATGTCCCTCTTATGAAGCAATGAGTTACTGAGCATACTTTACATTTAGTTTTTGAACAGGTCCAAATTTTTAAAAAATGCAATTATGACTCAAAGCCTCACACTGCTTCCTTCTGCAGTAGCTGCAAATGAAAACTGGATGAAGACTGAAAATCATCAGCCCAGTTTCATTACTGGAAAAATAAAATAATAATCTTTCTGAGCAATGTTTGATAATAATAACACCAAATCTATCCTTTTAATAGTTGTAATACATGTAAGAAAACTAGTATTTAAGCATGAAGGCACCTGAATAAGAGAAGCAGCTGCTGGAATTTGTCGGTTAAAATGCTTTTGCCTTTGTTTCTGCTGTACCTTGAGAGCAAAACCAGAACCAAGGATTCCCTGAGGAACAGAGGAAATTAGAAGAATAAACCAATCAATCAGTTACATAAACGCCATTTCAAATATAAGGTTTGTGGTAAATTCAGCTACCATGGAATTTGGAGCAAAGGATGAGATTTTAATGAATTTGGGCATGTTTATTGACAGCTGCATCATCCCTGAAATATCCAATTAGCTCTATTTGAGGTGGAATATATCCAGTATTTTATAGTCTCTAGCATTTGCACACTTGGGAATTGCACCGAGTGATTGTTGCATAATATAAACTCATAGCATAAAAAGTGGATCTTATTCTTGCTGTTCATAATATATTTTACATATATGAATATTAACATATATTGAAGTAATAAATCCATGACATTCTGGGGTTGGTAACAAAATGAATACATAAATGTCAGGATCTTTTGAATTGGTTTTGGCAGTGCTTTGAATTATTATTTCTGCAAAATGGAAACAAAACAGTGAAATTATTGTTATTGCTGCTGCTAACATATTTCCTTGATCACCCTGAACTTCTCAGCTGCTTAACTTTCCTTTTTGAACAAATTCCACTAGAAAACTCTCCCTTCAGGAATTAAATAAAGTGACATAAGCCAGGGAGACAGCAGATCACTATATATTGAATACTTCAAGGAATTTTAAACCTATTTCTTGTGATTCATTGTGCAAGAGCCTTACATATTAAATGTTTTTCCTTCTTAAGAATTATCAAAAGCATATGTTGCCATAAAATTAAATGAAGATGGTAGAAAACAACTGCAGAATCTATCTCTACTGTATATTACAGTAAGTGTGTGTTTGTATGTATGAATATGACAGCAATGGAACACAAGATCGCAGGGAAATCACAGCATACTTAAATAAAGATCTAGGTATATCTTACCAAATGCTCAGAAAAGTTTGAAGCGATAATGGTAACATCATGTTTTACTGAAATAATGTTTATTATTGCCTTTATGTTTCCTGTTTTGGGTCCCCCCCCCTCTTTAACTCATGTAAGCTGCCCAGAGTCATTTTGGAGTTGGGTGACAATTTAAATCTAAATCAACATTATTCCTTATTTTGCTTTTACAATTAATATTTTAGTTTTTGCCCTTATGGCAGTCAACATAACAATTTTTCACCTTTTGTAAGCTGTATTGAGTTCAGTGCAATGCAAAAGAAGTAGATAAAATTAATGTATAGTTAATATTACATTACATAAGGGCTGATAAAAATCAATCCTAATATATGTATGTACAACTAAAAAAAGTTTGGACTTACTGCAGGCAAGGCAAAAAATGATATTGCAAATACAGAAAAGCAAGATGCAATAGTTTTTCCTATCCATGTTTGAGGCACCTTGTCTCCATAACCAATGGTTGTAACAGTCACCTGAAATCAAGAAATAAATATGATTATCATGCGGTCATCTAGCTTTATTATAAAATTCAAAATATTTCTGAAGTATATTTATGTATTACAAACTATATATTTTATAAAAACTTGAAAAGCTTTTTATTCTTAAGAAATTAAAATTATTTTATAGTTACCATACCCTGATGTATACAATGGCACTTTTATGTCTTTTAGGATATTTCTATATATGCAAATTAACTAATATACTTATACAACTGTCTAAATTCAGAACAGCAGCTGTCCTGCTTCTCCAGTCAGTGTTGGACTCTAGGAATAAAGTGTCTGAAAAGATCAGTTTTAGCTCATTAAAAACAAAAACACAATTTCACAAAAATACCTTCACTTTAGTTTAATTTTTAAATTATTTTTTCAATCTTTCAAGCATAATTTAACAAAAATATCCTCACTTTATTTTTTTTATGAATAACTCAAGGTGGCACACAATTACTCCTTCTCCTATTTTCCCCACAAAAACAATCCTGTGAGGTAGGCTGGGCTGAGAGAGAATACGACTGGCCCAAGGTCACCCAGATGGCGAAAAGTGGGATTAGAACTCTGAACAGGTCTTCCTGCCACAGAGGACAGTAATCAGGTAGAGTCTAGAGATTTGCATACAGAACACACAAACTAGAAATCACCACTTGCATCAGATCAAGTCAATTTTTTTTAATATGCAGCAGAAAAAGAGAAGTAGAAGTTGCGTTCCTGGTGGGTGGGTTGGTGGTGGTGGGAAGATGATGTCATGATTTGTGCCTTCAAGCAATGCTACATGGCTAGTACACATACTGGAGCAGATTAGACATGATAATCAACTTCTATTAGTCTTTTAAAATCCTTCTTTCAAAGTTCATAATTTAGTCACTTATCTTACTAATTATCTTACTACACTTATCTTTTTTCCTCTGGTGCCGAAAGTGTGCGTATGTGTGCGACAGCACATTCGTGTATGCCCACACCCATAATGCAATGCCTCCTGTGTACCCCACCACCTGCGCATGCATGCATGATTCCCATTTCCCCACCCCCTGTGCATGTGTATGCGAATCTGTGCTTCCTCCACCCTTGTGTGTGGGCCTCCCCACTCTCCCCTTGCTCCAGCACATGCTCGTGTGCTCACCTGTACCCCCCCAGTGCATGCACGCATGCCCCCCGTGCCCCGTTTTGGGCTAGCAGGCCTCCCTAAACCTTTCTGGGACCAAAAATGGGCCGTGGGGTCCCAGGAGGCTTCAGGGAGGTCTGCTAGGCCCAAGATGGGGTGTGGGGGAGTGGTGCCACCCCTCCACATGTGACCTCCTGCCCCCCGGCGCATGTGCACACATCTCTGCGAAAAGCTGAAAATCAGCTGGCTGGCGGGAGGTGTGTGTGCTTGCGCGGTAGAGCTGACCTAGGGTGATGGCTCACGTGCCTGCAGAAATGGCTCCACATGCCACCTGTGTCATACATGCCATAGGTTCGCCACCACGGATATAGGTTCTCTTGTTTGAGCAGGGAGCTAGACTAGAAGACCTCCAAGGTCCCATTCTATTCTATTCTATTCTATTCTATTCTATTCTATTCTATTCTATTCTGATGAATCTATCATATAACATAGCTCTATGTATATAACTAGCTTTTGGTGTTTCACATTCAAGGAAGTTTGGAAAGTTGAATTGCCACTTTCTATAATATAATTCAGAACATGCCTTCCAGTACAATGAAAACCTCCATGCAATCATAGCTCAACATCATAATAATGTGGTTTTAATAATATGTGAACAAGCCTACCTACTTCCTGGGTATGTGCATTCTATCCTTTCCTTCTATGTGATCCATAGAATGTTTCTGGAAGCTATTATTTCCTCAGGTTTGAAACAGATCATCTTCAAATTGTGGCTTGGTTTTATAAAAAAAAAGTAACTGCAATTCACAAATCTGATGATCTGGGTCACCACCGTTAACAAAAAGCAGAAGGAAGCATATCAGAATGATTCCTCCTGGAACGGCAAAAGTGTGGAGAATGGAAATCGGCAAACTAAGTAGGTATGCACAGGACCGTTTAACAGCTAAACAAAGCCGATATCCATCTCCTCAAAAAAATCATTAATAGTTTCCAATATTTATGGGCTACCACAAAATAAAATTCTAGATATTCACCCGACATACAGTAGATACTTGTAGTTATAATTATATTTATCATGATACTAACAGAGTTCACATAGGCCTTATCATGATTTTTCCTCATGTAATGTTCTACATTCATATTTCATTCTCATTTTTATCTTTTTTCTGAATTAGCACTATAAATTTATGATAAGGCATTTATTTATTATTATGCTACCAAACAGCATAAAAATCTAGGGAGACAGATTAATGTTCTCCTAAGATGCAGTGCAGCATAAAGGAGCAAGAGATTTTTCAGCCAAATGGCTACATAAAAACTAATTTCTTGAATCCTCTCCCAGTCCTCTTAACATTTCCCTAAAATAGCTCAACATTCCATCTCAATAAACTCTTTTAGATTTCTAGGCCAAGTGTAGTAACCAAAATAAGTAACCCAACTAATCAAAGTTGGGTGCTGATATCTAATTTGTACATTAAAATGTTTAGACAGCTGTTATGTCAGTTATTTGTATATCCCCACAACCTCATGCATCTGTGGGGTAAGAAAGAAACCTATCATTATACTGTCATGTATGGGAGAACCTTAATTTAGGAGAAAGAAAAGTGCATAGGAAATGAAATTACAAAAGAGCTCATGTTAACATGCTGTAAATTCAAAGCATTAATTGAAGCCTTCATGATTTGGAAAACTTTACAACGCATGATGTCTCAGGGCATCTTGCCCAAAGTCTACTCTTCTCTATAGAAAAAAAAATGTGCCAGTCCAATCCAATCAATTTGGGTTTATTTTACTATATATGGAAAAATCTGTATACAAAGGAATTCCAGTCCAGGTGAAAAATGCTGTAGGGAGATTTATACAATAACTGGAAAAGTAGGCAAACAAGCTAGGGACAGAGCTATCACTGGTCTAAGTGTTGTAAATCTATTTAATGACTGAAATAATTCTTTAAATTCATTCAAATATTTATTTGCAATACTGGAATGTTTATTGTAGGAGATAACAAATTTTGTGAGAAAATATTTTCAAAATGTTCATTTGAACAGGAACTGAAATATTGTTTAAATATGTACCTTCATGGAAAATATTTTTAACCCTGCAGATTAAAGTAGAAAAGGGACAGAACAACTTACAAATAAAGTTCCCCATATCTTTTATTTGTACATCAACCTTCTTGTGATGAAAATGCTTAATTTAGAGGATTATGCCCCATAATTAGTTAATGGGCATTTTGCAGTCTTACATCATATGCAGAGGATATAGTGACAATATCAACTGGACTAAAATGAATTCTGTGGACTCTAGATACTATTCTAAGGAAAAACTTGAGATCAACTATAATAAAAACAAAATTTTACGAAGTGATGTAGAGACTATGCCTGTTGGTTATAGAGCCAGACAAAAATATAGTTCTTTAAACATTTGGGCGTAGTCTTTTATCACTTTATATCAAATGTAGTATAATGGTAGTTATACTATTTTCTACTTCCCCAGAATGGTACAGCATAGACCAATAGCTTTAAAGCTCATGCATACAGCTTCTGTTTGATGTTCAGTTGGGACCATGCTCTGGAAAGGATTCAGTCCAAATTTTTAAGGACTATATTTCAAAAGTGTGACCAATGTGGTACCAGGAAGGGAGACAGATGGGCACATTACTTGTACTGCTGTGCAATGGGTTCAAGTTTCTATATTTTTTAGAATGCAAACTTGGTTTATTGTAGACAATTATAGTTTAACATGGAAAATAACATTCCTTCAAAAATTGCAACACCATGGACTTTCTAGAGAGGTCATTCTGATTATGGGTACTAACTGCACTTACGTAGCATGCTAGAAAGCCAAACTGGATTGACCTGCTCTACCCAGAAAGTGTTTCCCCCTCTTTTAAGGCCAGCCAAAATCAAGTAAGTGTCTCTAAATTTCAAAAAGCACCAACGTTAGGACATTTTAATGTTTTCCTGAAGCTGTTCTCAAGAGCAAATACGAATCAACCAACAAACACAACTTAAGATCACATCTTGCAGAGAAGAATTTATCATATCCATTCCTCACATTCTTTTATACTGCTTACTCCATAAAGATGAAGGGCCTGCTTTATAACTCAAATTCTGGTCAAAATACCCAGAATTTGAGTTCTGAACTATTTTATGTAGAATTAGTTTAACAGACCAGTCAATATCATTTCCTTGAACATAATTAAATCTTGGTATAATTATTGCTGTGATTGCCTCAACGACTTAGCTATAATTTTATATTGTGTTATTTTGGTCAAAATAAAAATGGCTATTTAATCATTTGACTACATACTGAATTCTGGTCAGTTACTGCAATAAAAAATATGTTGTTGATGATTATTTTTATATCAAATGAAAATTACCTCTAGTTCAGTCTTTTATTTACAACACTGACCAGTTACATGCCAGATTGACCATTTCTGAGAAAAAGTTTCATTAAAGTATTGGAGGGATGGATTCTTTCAAAACGGGGCGGGGAGAATCAGCCATTTTGTTTTCAATTAAAACCTTCAATAAGTGGAACTATTACAATACAAAGCTATCTGTTTGTTATCTGTCAAGTAGGTCCAATATATATCTGCAATCAAGTTTTCTTTACAAAACAGAGGAGGTTTATATGTAAGAAGTTATTTATTCTCTTTACACATGTCTATGCTATTTCAGAACTGGAATTGTAACATACTAAAAGAGGAGGCAATGTTTGAATAGCTTTGTTTGATCAGCTGGATAGTTTTACAGCACTATTATGTACAGAACACTGTTTTTGCTCTCCCAGCAAGCTTAGGGCCAAGCATCTGGCAATGCTGAAACTTTGATGATATCACTGCCTCGCAAAAGCTGGTTAGAGTTGAAAGTTACAAGAACACAAATCACAAAGAACAATGACAGCCCAAACAAAGCCTGACAAGAGAGAGGAGTGATTTGTAAACAAAAGAATTATGTTGTTTAATTAATATCTTATGCTCTTGTTGATAGATGATCACTTCTATTCAGGTATCTTCTTAAGCTGGGATAACTAGAGATGTGGTTTATTAAATATTAACCAATTCACCAAAATCAGAAGCAGTCCGGTAGCAGCTTCTCCAGGTAACACATTTTATTAAAAGGCATAACCTTCCCTAAGCTGCACAGACTAACTTGACTGATGTAGGATGTTAATTGGGAGGAGGCGGGTAGGGCACAGAAAGGGAGGGGAAGACAGGTTAATGATGCAAGTTGTATGAGGCAGATTACAAATACTTTATCAATTAACAATTGCAATGTGTTAAAAACTCTCATAATCTTTGGGCTTTTTTGAGATAGCCTGAAACATTTTCTTTTTGACGTATGTAAAATCTTTTAACAATATCTCATTGTAAAATGACTTATGGTCCACAGTAGATCTGACTGCCTTTTGTATACTGTAAGGCTCTTCATTGCTTTTGTAACAATTTTGGAATTTGGCTTAAATGTGAGTCATGGTTCTGCATGGGCTGCAACTTTTGTGGGGCAAGAAAATGTAAAGAAAGTTTGGAGACTATCATAATGGATTCTGCAATTATTCTAGGGCAGCTGAAATGCTATATAATACACTGAAAAGTACATGTTAGTAATTACTCTTTACAATACTAATTATAAATCTTGTTCTTTTAAACATAAGCACTTTCAGGTCCTTCGTATTTAAAGAGAAAGAATAAAGCATCATTTTTGCCGAGATTTTCCTCAATTGGAGACTTTATTTATAACAACTCAATTCACTTATCTATTTAGATATAACATATAAAATAATATGTATGTAAATATATTAAACTGTATTAAAAAACTTTAGTGAGGAATACAAATTAATGTGTCGAAGATTAATATTACATTTTAATAAAACCATATAATGCAATATTAAAAATTCTGTTTCATTTATTAAAGAATTATATAGCCTTATTCACTCCTTTGTCTTACTAAAAATTAACATTGAGTAGGAAATGTGTGTAACCCCTGAAACTCTTCCATTTCAGTGACTGTGATCCTCTTTAGATCTTCCTTTAGAAGCAATTCAATTAGCAATTCCTTTCAGCACAAGCTTCTCCAAGAGGTTCAGTTAAAAATTTCTGCCTCTGGAAGTCATCCAAACACTTGAGAGTGCTGTTTAAATTTCATGTACAGTACCATTTTTTAAAAGAAAAGATTATTTGTTTCTCAAGCATGTAATTTTTACAGTTGAATGTTTTAGGTTTTATGATTTTTCACAAATCTTTTCACATACAATCTGAATGCATTTAAAACAGCTCCCAGTTTCTATATAAATGGAATTACTTATAGTTTTTGTTTAAGTAAGAATCAGAAGGAATTGGAAGGAAGGTTGTTGTTGCTTCTACTTGCAATTTCTATGGCACATTTGTTTTATCTGTTGCTCTTTTAATTTGCAGTGTTTTCATATTGTATGCTTTTTACAATGTATGTAGCATGGGGCTGTGTTTTCACACATTTGGTTTTTCTTCTTTATGTAAGCTGGTTGTTCTCATTTTTACTGAGAAAAGCTTTGCAGCATCATGCCTCCCAAGAATATGATTCTCTTAAACTCAGGAGCAGTGGGTGTTTTGGGGGTGTGTGGGGGGGGGGGTTGTATCTGCGATCTTTAATTAATAATCCACATGAGTCATGCCTCTAGAAGCTCCATATACTAGAATACTATCTAAAACCTTTACAAAGGACTTTTTAAAGGTAGACCAATCAGCAATCTCATTGTATTCTCTTTTTACATGTAAAAACAAAAAAGGGAAAAGGGGAGGCATTTATAGACAGACAGAGAGAAGGTCAAAGTATTAGCCACCAGTCTTTGAGCTGGCAGAAATATATTAAAACAAAATTTTCTGGTCTTATTCGTTAAGTGCCAGTCTGCCAGAATAACAAATCAAGCAGTTGGTACTATCCTTATTGTTTTAATGCAGGATAGGTTAAGGAAAATGATAAGCAAATGTCCCTTTCCATCAAATATCACCTGCTGGCACGAAAACAGTCATCAATCACTTTCCATAATATGGGATGTAGCAGATGTAGATGAGAGTAGATGAGCGCTTGAAGCAGCTTGTTTTGACATCTGTCAAGTAGCAGCACTGTGCCTGTAACCGGACTATTTCTGAATATAGGTTTAGCACTGGTTTGAAAGAGTATTAAGTCCATGTCTAAAAATAGCCTGGATGGCAAACACAATTGTGGAGGAGGGATGTGGGGTGAACTAGCAGGAAATGATCAATAAAGAACAAGCTCCATCTTTAAGTAGTGCTGCAAAAGAATGGCTGTGCTGGTACTGAGTCTATTTCTGACACATCAGAAAATAGCCCACAGACCAAAACTGTGTAGGCAAAATGACACAATTCATCATCTCAGTATTGGAAACAATCAAAGCTATGGCCATGCCAAACTTCATATTATGGTGGGGATCAATGGTTGGCTCAGGAATTCTGAGAGTTGAAATCCACAAGTCATAAAGGGACCATTATTCCCCACCTCTGCCATATTAACAAAACCAGTGTAAAACATTGTAATGTACCCAAAACAGCAACTAGCAATACACTGCTGGCAGAGTGAGGTTCTCCATCCTGATTTAAATCAACACTGTATGCAATACAAGACTAGTACTTTGTCAAGAAAGTTCAATTTTTTAATAAACGGGACAAATGCTATTTCAAAAGAGCACTCAGCTTGTGTTTACAAGGAGCCCACATTAAGACCTGATAAACGCTTCAGACATCACCAATCAGGCATTATATATGGGGGACATGCTTCTGCAGAAATTGATATCTGGATTCTCCTGCAGCTTGAGCCAAAACAGGTATGTGAAAATGAGCCCATAGAACTCATATAAAAAACAATAGCTAAATGTGCTACTTCTCGTCCTCTTCCTCATTTATCAAGCAAATAGTATATCAATTTATCCATTATTTGATAATTGGGTATGTTCATTAAGAAAATCTAATTTCTGGACATCGTCTGCTTGTGCAATTGAACAGAATGACACACAGAAAACCTGATGATTTGCAGGGTTCATCTAAGCCAGCTGAAGGTTGTAGAACTGCTCTGAACGAAGATCAGATAAAACAGAAATTGCAGAGAATCAAAGGAAATAGTTCAGAAACTGTACACTAATATATTTGTTCAGAACTCAAATTAGTAGTGATGTAACTCCAGTAGAGTGATATTAATTCCTCTGAGCCCTCAAATATTGCTACAGTCATGACTATAGCATATTTATTCTAAGCCGAAGTTAAAAGATTAGACTGGGGCTGACAGTGGAGCGCTTTTATGTTAATACAAATACTCAATTTCACTCTCTCTACCTAGAAACCAGGAGATTGTGAGTTCTAGTCCCATCTTAGGCAGGAAGCTGGCTGGGTGACTTTGAGCCAATGACTCTCTCTCAGCCCAACTCACCTCACAGGGTTGATGTTGTGGGTAAAATAGTAGGAGGAAGGAACATTAGGTTTGTTGTCTTGAATTATTTATAAAAAATGTAAAAGTAGGATTTAAATAGGTGAACATAAACAATTGTTACAAAGGAAGCTTGTATGTCAGGATGCAGGCTGAGTCCCACTGTTTCCCTGAGAGTTTAACTCTTGGACAGATATAGAGTCATCTCCTGGGGTTAGCAAAGAATTGGTTATTTTAAAACAAAGGGGAGAACTTTGCAGACATCCATGCATTTATACAGGAGGAGGATATTCTCAAACTCTGGGAAAGAATAGGCAGTTGTTCCAAAATATGGCAAATGAGGAACAGATGGGCATTTCAGCCTTATCTCTTAAACAAAACCATTAGTCTTACAGAATGCATGAAAAGAAAATCTAAACAGCTCTTAGAAACCTCATCTTGACAGGTTTCTTGTTTTTCATTAACAAATTAAGATTGCACTTTTCTTTTTTAGTTTCTGATATTTTATAATTTAAACCTTTCTTTTAGATTAATAAGGTGCTGCATGATTTTGCTTCCCTGGTCAAGTATCACCACTATAGTATTGACAATGGAACCTTCTATTTGAGTGTTCTGCCTGAACCCTCAACTTTGGTTAATCCTAATTATGATTGGACAACTGTTTTTATAGTTTACAGTTAACATGAAAACTAAAATGTCCAATTTTGAATAACACAATAAGGTGAGTGTGTGTGTGTGTGTGTGTGTGTGTGTGTGTGTGTGAGAGAGAGAGAGAGAGAGAGAGAGAGGGGGGGGCTAACACGTGCTTTGTGCCTAATGCGTGCTCAAAGACCTCCGTATCAGCGCTGCTGAGCTGGATTTTTTTTTCTCAGCTGAGGCACGGCAATTCACTCTGCTGTGTGAATCGGCTGAGCTAAAAAACAAGAGAATATAGGACAATGGCAGGAGCAGGAGGGCGGGCCCAGCTAGAGGTGGTATTTGCCAGTTCTCTGAACTACTCAAAATTTCTGCTACTGGTGTGCCAGAACCGATCCAAACCAGTTGAATACAACTTCTGGCCTTAATAGAAGGAAGCAAACACTCAAAAACTTGAACCTGATTATCGTGAAATTATAAGAATAAAAACACAATGTACTTTTTCTTCCAATAATTTAGAGAGTGACATATTTCCTAATTAAAAATATATTATATCATATTTGATATTTTTATATACTTACGACTCCCCACCAAAGTGCATCAGCATAGCTGCTAAATTCATGCTCGCCCGAGTCATTCACAGCATCTTTTTCAGCCAAATACACGAAATATGAAGAAAAAATTAAGCCCAGAAACCCAATATACAGGGTAGTTATCAATTCCTAAAAGAAAAAAAAAGAACCAATTAGTGAATAATTAATCATATGGGGATTTCTGCTGACTTCAGAAGCTATTTTGAAAAAAATAATACCCTATTATCAAATTTACACTTCAGTGGGTTTATTATTTTCCAGTAATATTAATTTGGCGACACCCAGACAGGGAATTTTAAGTGCCACAAAAACTAATTCTGAAAAGATAACAGCTCAATCTAAAAGCCCTCAATGTGAAAAATTCCTAATTTGTGCTGAAGGAAGCCTAAATCTAAATTAATTTATATCAATATTAGATGAAAAAAATATTATACATTCTACATAATTTTAAAAGTTATCCTAATTTTATTTAAGAGCTTCAATCCATTCCTCAAATTGAAAGCAAAATGTTTGCTAAGCAAATGGTTCTAGGTTAGCATGCAGAGTAAATGGCATTTGCTGATTAAAGCAAAGAGCCGAGGTGGCGCAGTGGTTAAATGCAGCGCTGCAGTTCAGCAGTTTGGCTGTTCAAATCCCACCAGGCTCAAGGTTGACTCAGGCTTCCATCCTTCCGAGTTGTGTAAAATGAGGTCCCAGATTG